TATTTTTTTATTATATTATAATTATAATTAAGTTATTTTTCTATATCATTTTATAATAAATAATCACACATAAAAAATATTAATTTTTTTAATATAATTAAATTAAAAGTGAGTATTAAATTAAAAATGGAAACGGGGACGGGTACGGGTACGGGGTGGGTAAGTACATACCCGTACCCCGTACCCGTACCCGATTTAATATATCATATTTTACCCGTACCTGTACCCGTACCCGGTCAAACCGGGTATTCCCCATCAAAGTCGGGACGGGTTCGGGTATTACCCGCGGGTACAGATATATTTGCCATCCCTACCAGCTGCCGACTCACCACGAACCAAAACACCTATTCCTGTTCTGCTCCCGTACATAATACGATCATAGCAGTCCAACCACAAGGAAACAGAAAAGGGTAAGCTAGTATAGAAAGAAACAACGTACAACAAAATTCAAGTAATTAGAACAACTTCAACCGCCAACACAATAACATTCTACTACCCATCAATTTATACTACCAACCAGCAAATTAGATAGTAATGCGTCGTCACGCTTATCACCTCGGAGATCTCCTACAACAACTCAGCCGTTTTGGCCTACAACAACTCAGCCATTATGACCTACAACAACTCAGCCATTAAGGCATACAACAACTCAGTCAATAACAACACTGCACAACTATACGACTCAACATATCAACTTGCAACACTACACAACTGCACCATTCAACATCAACTTGCAACACAACACAACCTTGCTACTCAACATAAATCAATCAACATTTATCTACTAGTTATCATCGATAGTTATCCACTGCAACTCTACTCAATATAGAACAACATAATTCAATACATATAAAGAAATGTCTCATCTCCGCGCCCGGCGCCCTCGTAGTTGCGCCCAGCGCAGTACAACCAGACAGCCCCAGGGCCAGCGCGCCCAGCGCAAGCATGCTTGCGCTCAGCGGGACTTAGCCAGAGAGCACAAGGCTCTCCCGCGCTTGGCGCAATATCCATTGCGCCCAGCGCAGGCCAGGCAGAGACTTCAAGGAGTCTCCCGCGCCCGGCGTACCTAACCCAGCGCTCGGCGCGGGGTAGGCAGAGACCATCCCTTGGTCTCGCGCCCAGCGCAATTCAGAATTGCGCCTAGCGCCCACGAGGCAGAGACTCCCAAGGAGTCTCACGCCCAGCGCGACAAGGGCCGTGCTCAGCGCAGCCTCTAGAGCCCAACAGCAAGTTACAATGGGTATCGCGCTTAGCGCAGTTCAAGTCGCGCCCAGCGAGGGCCAACCAAAGACCACATTCTCAAGCGCGCCCAGCGCACTCATCAAGGCGCTCAGCGAGCTTGGCTAAATGAGGTCCCCTGGCGGTCACGCGCTCAGCGTGATGAACAACGTTCAGGGCGAAGCTCATCTGCGACCCTACCAAGTTCGAAAATTTCCCCAAACACCTGCAAAAGTCGCTTTCAAGTACATGCAATCCAGCCAAAGTATCACATTTCCATCCAAGAGTTCAAAAACGCTCTCTCCTCATACATGCATCCACAAAATCATAGAAATCAAAAGTTTCCCCAAAAATCCCCAAAGTCCCCAAAACTCAAATGCCACACCCAACAACCAGAAATTTGAAAATCAACACCAACTACCTGAGTTCTCAGACTCATTTCAACCAAACCACAACCCGAAAACTAACTTCCCTTACCTCGGGTGAAGATTTCCGAGCTTCCGAGGAGAACCCAAAGAGAAAACGAAGGAAGCTTGAACACGAGAAAGGAGAATAGAGAACTTCAACACCAGTTAGCAACCCACTTCACTCAGTTCCACCACCTAGTAGCAGCCAAAAGGAAGGTCCAAGTGAAAAGGGTGAAGATTGAGAGTGAGATAAGAGAAATGAGAGAGTTTGAGAGAATGCGAGTGAGGGAGAAAAAGGTTCAGCGGGAAAGGGAAAAGAAGTGGGTCTTACATTGTAAGTTCTATGATTTTCTAATATATCAATTATAGAAAATTAAAGAATATTTCAAATTCACGATACTAACATAATAATAAAAAATAGTATGTACCTTGTTCTATAATGGAATTCTCCTTTGATCTTTTTGAAAGAATACTTTCTGTCATGGGTGTGAATCTTGTTTCACATTAATAGATATTTATAAGAGTTAATCATCTATACACTGTCAGTGTAAGGTTTTTTTTTACACTGGCAACCAATTATATTCTTTAATTGCTCCATGTCACTGTTAAAAGTAAATGTGTTTACAGTGACATGACACAATTAAAGAATATAATTTGTTGGCAGTGTAAAAAAACTTTACACGGACAATGTATAGGTGATTAACTCTATTTATAATTTCTAAAGATTGTTATTCCCATTAAATAACAATTATTCTCAAAACTGCTCCATTAAGTCTATTTATGATTTAGTCTTTAATTATTTAATTATTAGTCCTTTTATGCATCACATATTTCTCACATGAGACATAACTATCATATATATATATATATATATATATATACACAAGTATCAATATATACATATACATACATATATATATATATATATAAAACTAAATAAGGGTTCTTAAATGATAAAAATCATCAAATCTAAAAAGCACGACTCAAAGTGAGAAAAGGGGTTTTGTGAAGGGAAAGTATTCAGATATTTTATTAAACTGCAACAATAAATTGTAATACCATTTTAAAAGTTGGATTTAATTGATCTAACACTCTAATTTAATTCCTAAGAATCAGCCTAAAATAAGGATTAGTTAACCGGTATAAACACTATTTAAGTTATATTGTTTATTAACCTGGGACCTCAACATCCTAAGACTCATGCATCCCGGTGGCTGCACTTTATGATGTAATTAAGATCCTTGAGTTGCTAGAATTGAATTGTTGTTTGAGATCACCAAATCTGAACTATATATAGCTAGCAAAAGAATATCGGTCTATTAAATTGTTCCATAAGTACTTTTAAGAAGAAAAAAAAAAACTTTTTCTTGGTTTACAACTAACTCATGCATGTATAATTTATTTATTTATTTATTTTCAAGAAACTAATATAAAAGAACTTTTACAAATTACAAAAATATTTTATTTTTCCTTCTTATAGATACTTCTAAGAAAATTTATTTAAACAAGTCTTATATACGCCGGAAATAATATCTTTGAAAATAGAATTCAATAGTCATTATGCGACTATGTTGTTGTGAAGCCAAAGATAGGTAGAATCAATTTATAGCAGTGTTGTAATGGCGTCATCGACGGAACCCGGTTTGTTCCTGTCAATGAGAGCCATTCTCATGGCGCATTCCCATTAGTTATAGCTATCCCTAATAAGAAGACTTCCGAAGGAAGAAAGAACACAGAGGATTGCATTGATCTTCCATGGCGAATAGCTGGATCCAAGAAACAAAATCAATGACAGAGAGAATGCAGCATGAAAGAACTCAATCATAGGCGTATTATTTGTTGTATTTTTTAGTGATATTTCAAAAAATTAATATATTTATTTAATTATAATTTTAAAAAATATTTTAAATTAGTTTTATTTAATAAATTAATATATTAAATTTTATCTTATATTTTGATTTTCTCTTTAAAAATTAATCATATTTTATTCAAAGACATAGTCAAAAGTGATTTTAACAAATAATTTTTCTTTATTATAAATATAATATATAAAAGATTTTGAACGTCTCTCTCACACATTTTTTATTTTATCATTTTATAGATTTTATGGGTCATTTTCATTTAAAAATTTATTTATTTTATTACTTTTAATTATTATTAAAAATGACCTGCCATATCATAAAGGACTTGTACATCATACCAATAAGTCAAATAATGTTATCACACTTTTCATGTTAATTACTTTTGTAATTGTAAAAGTTTTAAATAAGAAGATAGATTGTAGTTTGTGATGAATTGTAAAAATATGTACAACAATTATTAAAGTCTCGTACGTGATACCATATTAAAGTTAAAAGAATTTGCAAAGAAAAATATCTTATTCAACATCGAAAAGTGAGAAACTTTCAGCCGTACTTTGTTAGATATTTTGACAATTCTTATGCATTATTGTAATTTTACAGTATTAATATAATAATATTAAATATATTTTTAACTATTACTAATACATTCTTTAATTGTCAATTAAAAATACAAAAGGATAAAGAATAGTCCGTATATATTAAAAAGTTACATAATTTATTTTATTAAATCAAATATATTAATTATATTTTTAAAATTTTATGTTAAAATTTAAACGTTACACAAATTAAATGAAACAAAGAGTATAGATTGTATGATGAAGGCCCAACTATAACTTCCCTTCATAAACTTAAGAAAAACTGAAACTGGTAGCTGTGAGCACGTTGTAATATACACAATAAAAAGTAAAAATATATAATACAACTGATAAACATAGATGAAGAAAAAGGTTATAAAAATATATTAGACACTTTCTACTTCCGTCCCCATCGATGTCAAATTAATGTCCTCTTTGGAATCATGTACAATAAAGTTTTGAGTGTTATCTTTAGAGGGCAATGGGTTCAATTATCAAGGATCGTACGCGATTCTTGGCTGTGTTATCTGGGGCTCCATGTGCGTCTCCGTACTGGTATGTACACTGAGAAATTCTTGCAAGGTTCATAGCAGTTTCTACAAAAGGTTTTGGAAAAGGAGAATGCTTGATTCCATCTTTGTTCATCTTCTTCCACGTTTCATTAAGCAAATTGTGAATGTTTTTGTAAGCACCCTCTTCACTAGCACCACTTTCACGCATGTAACACACAATCGAGCTTGCTGCTTCACCTCTCTCTAACTCCGCCTGCAAAATATTACAACAAAAATGAATGCCAATTAATTACATAATTAGATGCTCTCATAATATCTTCTTCTAATTTCTGATTATTTATGAAGTATGCACATCAAAATACTATACATATCATATACGTGGAAAGTGGTAGGGTTTAGGATTTAGGGTTTAGTTAGGCAAATCAATTACCTTTGAAGTACCCAAATCATTGCAAAGTCGAAAAATAGTGGATGGTGTTTGCAACAGGGAGTGGTAATTGTCCAAGGACTCAAGTGCCTCCTTTGTTATGCTATGATTCAGCAAGAAATAGGCATGGGTGAGTATCACTACGCCAGAGACTGACACCCATGCATTGTTGAGGTACTCCTCGAATTTTGGCACGTGTTTGTCGCGACACCACTTTGCTTCTTGTAGGAATGCTTTCAACATATCAGACCACTATAATTGAATTTTAAAAAATAAGTAAACTTAATTAACATATATGGTGCTAACATGTTATGAAAATAATTGTATATTAATAATGAATTGGTGTTGGCTCTAATTTTATGAACATACTGCTTTGGTGAGGTAGGGAAGGATATCTTGTCCTTGTTCTTTAAGAACATCATAAGCAAATTCGTTGACAGTGTTGTACAGTGCTAAAAAGCATATCTTCATGTAATCCGGTAGAACTTGAACAGCTTTTACATCCCAACTGCGACAAAATTAGTCCACTAATTAATTATTTCAGCTCTCTATTAACTGTTACCAGAGTATAGAATATAATATAGAATTTATTTAAAGGGAAATAAATTAAGTTACCTTTCAACAGCTGATGTGAAAAGTTGTAATTCATCCAAGGTGCCGTAAACATCGTACACGTCATCGATTGTAGTTATTAAGGATGTCACTTTCGTTATACCTTTGCGGAGATCACTAAACTGAGGCTGGAAGGCCATTCCAACCGTCCAAAAGAAGCATTCCATTAGCCTATCTCTGCTGAAGCTCAACTTTGAGGCTAGACCCATCCCTTTCCACCACCTTCATCATAATATGTAACAATAAATTAATTATATTAAAAAATCAGAGTTTGTTGTAAAATTATGAAAATTCCTTTAATTAAATACTTAATTCGAACACAAAGTCACCTTGACATTTCTTGGAGATCATTTTGCAGTCTTGACTGTACGATGTTAAAATCAAGTTTTGCTGCTTGAAGCAGCACTTGGTTAGCGTCTTTTCTTTTAGCATAAGATTCAATATACCAACGGGCTTCAAGCCTTTGGATTGTACGATGCAGTGGAAGTTCCAATGCGTGATTCACTTCTTCTAAGACCATGCTACTGATTCTACCTTCATCTAGGGCACCCCTTAGATGGAAGCTACTGAAAGCCCTTGCCTCATCAAGAATCTGTTCTCCTTCATAACCCAGATACGATGCCTCGTATAAACTCAACATTCCCTTCACATCTCTGCCAAGACTTGCCTTGAAATTACCGTTCTGGTCCTTAAACTTCTCAAATGTATCTGCATGATTAAAGGACAAATAGAAAAGTCATTTTTTTTACCCAGCTTGCGGCTAAAAGGTGCACACGTGACACGGGTACATTCGGATAAATCACCGTTTAGATACACAATGTGAACAATTAAAATTAACGTGATTAATTAAAGTGAGTGTAACTAATAGTGTGTTTGATTCCACGTTCTCCAGGCAGTTTTTCATGTTCAGCTAACAATTATATATACATAACAATATGTGATGTAATAATATTGTAATTTCTCAATTGTCAATATTATAAATAAAAAATAAAAATAATAAGAAGAAGATTTTAAATATAAAGTTTTTATAAAAATATTATATTTTTCATATATTTACTTACAGCAAATTTTAATAAAATTTATTTACTTTTTAAATACATTTGTTAACGGGCTCTTATTTTAAAGTTCGGTGTTTGCTTTGCTTAGGTGACAATAAGATCAAAATCTTTTATCTCTAAATCTAGTTTTTCTAATCACAAATTGTCACATCATTATTTTTAATTTTATTTTAAAAAAATGTAACCAATTCTAATACGGTTTCGAGCGGAGTGTGTGGCGGCGGGGTTTGGGAAGCAGGGAGTGGAGAAGTGCGTGGTGGTTGGGTTCAGTTATGGTGGGTACGTGGCTTTGAAGATGGCTGAGATGTACGTTGAGCTTGTTGATGGTGTTGTGGTTTCTGTCTCCGTTGTGGGTTTAATAGAGAACATGGTTCTGAGGGCAGTGGAAGGTGCTGGCTATGACTCGTGTTTGGAGATATTGCTGCCAACCACTGTTACGGAACTCAAGACCCTTTTCTCTGTCGTTGCTCACACCAAATTCTGGCTACCCAACCGTTTGCACCGAGATTTTCTTCAGGTTTCTGCTCTTCAATCTAGCTTAATGCTGTATTTGGTAAATGAAGCTTTAAACAACAACAATCATATGGCCACCTAAGTTGCAGCTAACAGATCTTGGCCACTGTAAAGTGGCGAAACTTGAAAATAAAAAATTGGGTGCCAAATTATTTATATATATATATATAATTATAAATTAGTTAAAAAATAATAAATTTTTTTCTTTTTTATACTTCATTTTTTTATTTTTATTACAATTAATAATATGATAATATATAAAAATAATATTAATATATATATATATTAATATATATATAAAAAAAGTTAAAAAAGTTTGGAGGTGCCGTGGCTGTCATGTTGGAGGTTCACCACTGACTGCAGCAACTTATAGAATTTATCTTTAGACACATATATATGCTTTCTTCTTCTCCTTAGTTGTTAGTATAAAATTTTTTTTACACTAACGGTGTATAAGTGATTAACTCATCTAAACAATGAGTAGACTCTCCTAATTTTTTTTTATCACAATATATACCACTAATTTAATTTTATTAATTACCTATCTATTTTTTGTTATCTTTTCTGATTATCAACACTCCTTAAGTGTTTATGAATTATTTTTTTTCTTCGGAATTAGTGAGTTGTGTATTCACAGTCACTTGACACCTTTATTTATTTATTCTATTTTCTTCTTTTTATCACATTAAATAATTAATTTTATCAACCACTAATCTTTTATTTCTATTTGAGTGTGTCTACATGCCTTTTAAGATTCCCATGAATATTTCTTTTTGGATATAGTTCTTATATATTCTTTGACAGCCAAACAATGCACAACCTTTAACGGTTGACACTTTTCATTAGAAAAAAAATATTAAGTTTAACATCAATTAAAGATAAAATTAACATATAATTAATATATATAATTGGAGTGATAACCTTTATTCTTAAACTCGATTTTATAAAATCTTTTATCTCTATCTGTGTATTTCTTTTCTCATTGATTAATTACTTATCTTTCTTCCATTCTTATCTCTATGCCATGTTGTATGTGAATGAATCGTTTTCCATTGTATTTACCTGCTGTGACATCATAGCCATATTCTCTGAGGAGCCTGAAGCTTAAAGCAATTTCATGCAAGCTTCTGTGATCAGTGATTGCACCACTGAATCTTTGAGAAGAGACCCACCTATGAAGGGCTTCTCCTATCTCCTTGTCAAAGTGGTATCCGATGCCTAAGCGTTTCACTTCATCAATCAGTTCAAGTTTCACCCATATGTTTCTATTTTCATCCTTTATCATTCTCCTCACTTCCTCTTCCAGCTTCCTTGCCCTCTCCTCATATCTTGTATCCTATAATATAAATACATATATATCTAAACAAATTAAGAGCATGCAAAATCACGTGAGTAAAGTTAATCAAAAACAAAGAAAAGAACTGATGAGACACTATAATTAGAACATGTTTGGATATATAATAGAAGAACCTTTGCCAAGTTTTCTAAACATGTATCCAAACAAACAAGTTTTTAGTATGGTTTGATTAATCACCACATAGTCATGCTTCAAGGACTGCAGAAAATCGTAATTCCAGAGGTTTGGCTGGTATTTGGCCGATTTTCTTTCAGAAACGGCAACGTTTGTGGTTGCGTTGCATCGGAGAGGGAAAATAATTGTTTGGTGGGGAAGATTAGGGCCTTGTGGTTTGCGAAAAGTAAGAGGTGAAAAGAAGAAGGAACTATGAAACGTGGGAGTTAGAAGGGTCATTTTATGTTTGGTTATTGGCTTAATTACGCTTGCGACTGCGAATGTTAATTCAATGTTGGGTTGATGACATTTAAATATATAGGCATTAGCTAGGCACTGCAATGCAGAGCTATTGGCATTTGGCAATAAAGTAATAATAACTTGGTCACGTTTTTCATGCTAGCATCATGAATATGACTTTAGAATTCGCAGTTGCCTTTCGGGTTTCCTAGATTCCACAAAATTGAAACGTGGGATAATAATTAAGGATTATGCAACTGACAACATGTCGGAAAAAATTAAGAGCATCTTTAATAGAATTGCTTATAAGCAATTTTTTTGTGCTACATTTAAAAGTAATTTTACTAAAATTTAAGTAATTCATAAAGTGAATTAGAATTAATGTGACAGCTTTTTGAAAAAAATTTAAAATATTTATTAAATTATACGTGGCAATTTTGTACCGGACCAAAAAAAATAATTGAGCTTTGCACAGCATGTGAAGTCCACTTTAAAATTGACAGATCAACTTATAATGTTGATCATGTCGGTTAATCAATCTCAATGAATAGTGAAAAAAAATTTAATGGCAACTTTTATATATAAAATATAAATAAAATACGAACGATTATTTATTTTTAAGAATTTTTTTTGACAAGAGATTTTTTTAATAATTCTTTTAATTTTATATCTAATTTTGTTTTTTTATTTATTATAATTATTTATGAATTAAATTTTAATATATTAAAACTAAATTATCAATAAATAAATTTAATCTACAATTATAATATAAATTATTTATCATAAATTTAAAATATAAGT